CTTCAGGACAACATCCTAACAATTAAATGATAATGAGGCTGCATATTTTTAATGTATACTTTTAATAGTTGGCTTTCATCAAGTAAGAAATTACAAATAGCAATCACTGTTAAGTGTGTACTTGGGTTTAAATTGGCAATTGAGAAATATATAAGATCTATAAAAGATATTCAAATGTTCATATGGAACTGGAGCAGATGCCTTTTTAAGATTTGTCTGTTTAGTAGGACATGAACAGTTCCTTACAAACTTGAATAAGAGAACATTGCAATCATAGGATTAATTTTCATTCCGTATGCTTATTTTCACTATTTTGGAGCATAAGAAGCAAGAGTTTTATGGTACATTGGACAACAGAAAAAATGACCAGAGTCTTTCCCATTTATGACATTAAGAATGTACTGAAAATTAAGTAGCAAAATAAGTTAATTGCTTGCATCAGACCTTCAAAACATGCAAAAATTATTTTAAAATGTGTATAAAAATATTTTACAAGTTAGCAAGGTAGTACAAGTTATTCTTTTCATAAAGGCATGATATATAAAGTTGTATTTCAGATAAAAGTTGTTATCAATGCATATTTTTGTGTGAAAGCCTAGTGAAAACTTTTTGCTCTTTCAGCTGTAGGTATTTTAGGCTATCTCACATTGAAAGTGCCATGTGGTACTTCATTATATCATTCAATTCTTAAAGGTGTATTTGTGGTAGAAACCTTATTATTACTGTATTAAACATGCCCCTGGCTTATCAACATTTCAGCATCCCACAATTGCTTTGATCTTTATTTGGGGATAAATATATTTATAGCGGTTGGTTTATTTCAGAAGTTGAGATTTTTTTAGGTTTCTTTCTTTAAATGAAGCTGTTAATACATACCGGATGCATTTACACATGCGCTTTAAAGCACAGTATCCTATTTTACTGTGCATTAACGTGTCACATAAAAAAAATGCACTTTAATCTCTTTGAATCAAATCACACTTTAATCTCTTTGAATCAAATCGGAACCCTCCAAATCAATTTGGAGAGATTCAGAAAGATTTGGCAATTTGGATATAGCAGGGGTGGGCAAAATACGGCACGCGGGCTGTATTCGGCCCGCAACGCCATTCTATCCAGCCTGCAGGGCCCCTAAAAAATTTACAAAATTAAAATTTCTCTGCCCTTGGTTCTTGTCAAAAATGAACTGAGGGCAGTAGGACCCCAGGGAAGCCTGGCAGGCTCCAACAACAGCAGGGCCCACCCACCCCTGCCCCCCCCCAGCTGGAAGCCCCAGTTGGGGCTTCTGGCTTGGGACCACATGGCTGCTTCGCACCAGAACTGCAGGTAAGGGGGAAGTGGGGAGGAAGGGCGGGCAGAGGACCCCAGGCAAGGAGCAAAGCGGGCAAGGGAAAGAACCCTGGGGAAAAGTAGCCTGGTGCAGCAGGGAGCACCAGCCATGGGGCCTGGGGCTGCCTGTGCCTACTCCGGACAGCCCCATGGGCTGCGAGCGGCTGCAGCAGGGAGCACCGGCCACAGGGCAGGGGAGGGTCGCTTCCCGCCCGTGCTCAACTTTTCCCTGGACTCCTTCCCTGCTCCTTCCTGGTGTGGAGGAAAGCGGCCCTTCCCCGCCCCATGGCTGCTGCTCCCCCCT